GGGCGGCGGCGCGGGGCCCAGGGAGGCTGGAAAGGGCGGGCTGCTCTGCCGCCCCCGGGGGCACCTGGCCCTTCTGGCTTCGCTGCCGCTCCCCGGCGACTTTGAGTAGCGAGGAGCGGCACCTCTCGCCTCTCACCGGGTGGTGCTGCGGGATAGCAGCGTCATGTCGGTGACTGACTCATGGAGCGAAGCCAGATTCTCTTGGCCTGTTGCATGTTTACTGCACCTGCTTCAGTGTAAGGGCAGGTGCACCGGGATTGTGCAGTTAGCACCCGGAGTGAGGTACTAACAGCATGTAGGACACTGTATGCGTGTGTGTTTTGGGAGATCTGTGTATAGTTAAGTGCACATTTCTAGGCATTTCTTTTATGTGTTTTCAATTCCAGGCAATATCACTTTTCAGCTCTTTTGTCTTAGCGGTTTTTGGTGTTGTAGTATGACCATCATATTGATGTCGTTGGTTTGTGAAGTCACTAAATACTAGAAATCCAGCTGTGTAAATGCTAGTGAACACATTGAGGAGCCTGTCAGAACTAAAATCTGTACAACTTACGCTGAAAAGAAGATGAATACTTTGCCCACAGATTATGATTTCTGTTTTGCACATGTGTACAATACAGGGTTTTGAACTTTTACTGCTTCTGTAGCACTTTAGGAGTGCTGTTGGCAGGGGATGGTTCTTAGAGGTAAGGGTCAGTTGGGCATATGACTGTGTAATAACTGTGTTACAAAAGAGTTGACACTTATCATGGTTAGGTTCATGGTTGTTCTAGTTGGCAGTTGTTTTAGTCTGTTTTTTGTTTATTTGTTTGCAGTGACGGTAGTCTGTTCGTGTATGATTGCATCAAGGCGGAGAAGAAGACCGTAGGAAATAAAGGGTGAGAGAATTTGTGTACGTAACTTGCTGCTTTCCTAGAGGGTGCGTCTCCTCCTGAGGTTATGTGGCAGTGAAGAAAATACAAGAAAGGCATAGAATGACTGCTTGAACAGGTGATGGCCAAGTGATTTTTTGCTAACCCTGATGAATATATACATATATTGTTTTTAATTTCATCTCAGTGAGGAGACTAAGTGTTTTGATTTTTTTTTTTTTTAAGAAACAGTAGTAACATAATCAATTTTTCTGTGTGACTCTTGTCAGTCCAGGCAACAGATCCTCTGTTAGATCATCTAACTCAGAAAAGAATAGAATAGGTTCCATGTGTACAAGCTTGCCTTCAGGTCTGTGTTCTAAATAGCAAGCTCTCTAAAACTGAAACAATCTTTTCCTTAGTTTAAATTCAGCCACTATTAATTGTTTTACTTGTAGTGAGTCCTGCTGTTTTCCACTAAATTGGTATCAACATATGCTACCGCACAGCCTAGTACCTGCTGAAGCAAATAATGATGCAGGCTTAGGCCTTACTGCCAGCTTCCTTTTTCTTGATTTTTTTTTTCCCCTACCATAGGAGAATAAAGAAATCTAAATCTTGCCCCTGGCTATAAAACTATTAAATACTTCAAAAATGCTGGAGCTGTTAGGAAAATTGTAATTAGCCCTAACCTTTAACCTTTGCTTGGATTCTTTGTTCTTATGAGTCTGCAGTGTGGGATGAGACCTGGTGTAGAGGTGCTTGGATGCTGCACCATGCAGAGATAAGCAGTCTGGAAAGCAGGATGCCAGTCTTAATTTGAGTGCAGCAAAGTGCTGTGTCTCACTAGTTTGGGTGCAGGACAAGTCCTGGCATGGTACTTATGGTCCCGTTGTAGTCACTGCTACCACAGTCTTTGCACTGCACTCCACTGTAACGTGGAGGCATATCTTAAAAGGAATGCAGCTCTAAATTGGATCTTGGATATGTAGCTTCTAGCCTTTTAAGTTCAAAAGACTGTTCACCTTATTTATAGCAGCTTCTGTTTACAGTATAAAGCTGTGTAGTGAGACTACACTGTTTAAAATGTCAGCTAATAATTGTCTTCCACTAGAACCTATGTAGTTTGGTATTCGAGAATGGTACCAAATCTGAGGAAGCGACTCATATGCTTGAGGGAGGGCTGCCACGCAGAGGGACTTTGATAACTTGAAGAAGTAGGCTGTCAGGAACCTCATTAGGTTCAGCAAAGGCAAAGTTCTGCACCTGAAATGGACGACTGCATAAAAGGGAACAGGCTGAGGGCTGACTGGATAGAAAACAATTCTGCAGAAAAGGATGTGTGGGTTCTGATAAGCTGGGGATAAGTCAGCAGCATACCGTTGCAGCAAAGGATGCCAAGGGCATGCTGCGCTGTATTAGCAACAGTGTAGGTAGGAGGTCAAGGGAAATTATTTTTCCCCTCTGTTTGGCATTTTTGATACCATATCTGGAGTACTGTGTCCAGTGTTGGACCCGCCAGTAGAAGAAAAGTGTTGATAAACTGGAGTTAATGCAGCAAAGGTCCACCATGGTGGTCAGGGGGCTGGAATATGTGATGTATGAGGAGAAGCTGAGAGAATAGGGTTTTGTTCAGCCTGGAGAAAAAAAGCTAAGGAGAAATCTTATTGGTATCTAGAGCCCTTGTAGAGGGTATAAAGGAGACAGTCAGATGCTTCTTGGACCTGCATAGGGTCAGGATGAGATGTAAGTGTCACAGGCTGCAACATGGGAAATTACAATTAGATGCAAGGAACTTTTTCACCATGAGGGTGCTTAAACATTGTGACAGAGACCCAAATGTGTGGAATCTCAATCCTTGGAGAAATTTAAAATTTGACCGGACAGGACCTGAGCAACCTCCTCTCATTTGACCTGATGGGAGGAACGGGTTGGATTAGATGATCATCAGAGCTCTTTTCTGACCTAAATTACACTGTGATTCTTGCAAAGTTGTGCCTCTGTGTGGGTCTCACTGCAAAATCTTAACTGTGGCTTCTGAGAGTTGATTTGTCTTCCTGTTAACTTCAATAGGTTCTAAGTTAGGCCTTTATGCCTCCAAAACACAGAATCACTTTAAAAACTTACTGCTAGCCTCTAAGGAGCAAGTACGGTCTCTGTACCTTTGCGTTAACGTTCAAGCGATTTAACATTTTGAACACAAATATAGCTTAAAGCTTTGTGCTTTATTCTCCATGTTCACTCTTGGTGGTGGTGTGAGAGTAAGCCGTCTCTGCTTAAGGATTTTCGGTAACTCTGCCTCAAGCTGTGAACTTGTTTTTCCCCTTCTCTATATTAGACAGGATGGACAACCAGCAGAAAAAGGAAGTGTTGACATCCTAGCTTTTGCCTTCTCCTCATCAGGAAATTATTTTGCCTTGACAGATGACAACAAACGTCTGATTCTGTTCCATACTAAGCCTTTGTGGGAATGTGTTAGTGTCAGGTAAGGAATCAGGATGTTGCATGTCACTTCGTTATGCAGCTATGGCTGATAACTTAGAGTTACAAAATAGTAGTTCTTAAGGTGCAGCTATTTGTAATTGCTGTGCTTCCTTTTTTTTTTTTTTTCTTGTACTTCTTCAAGCAAACCTAATGTTTCCTGGGATTTCAAAGGTATCTGTCAAGAAGTTATGTATGGTATGTCACGCACCAAGAATGGGAGCGCAGGCTTTTGTATCTTTGGCAAAGAAAACAATAAATCTCTTTGCTTCTTCCAAGAATCAGTGTTTACATCTTTAAACTGAGTCTTTACGTGTTCTTAGTTGATGTTAAGGTTGAGTCTTCAAGAACTATACCGAACAGTTTAGAGAGCGCATTGCCCAGTTCTATTGATCTCTCATAGACTGGGAAAAGAGGGTATTTCAGGGAGCTTGTGAAGTCTGTCTTAAGAACATATCTTTAGGGATGCTGCCAGCTGTTTTCCTTCTGTAATACTGCCCTCCTGAGAAAACAGTCTGTAGCTGTCCACCAGAGGTCCTCCATTTACAGATTTTTCATTGCCACTCGTGACAATTGTCTGTATAAAAGAGGACCATGAAGGACTCCCTGAGAAAATAACTCAGCCTGTGAGGTCCCTGCTTCTGGTGGTCTCTGACAAATGTGAGGCCCTGGTTGCAAAGTAGTGGACTCGCATCCTACAGTCTCTCATCTTGGCTGTGTTTGGGGGGGTACGTGATGGACCTTGGTGGGTTAACCAATGTTATAGTGAGTAAGCAGTGAACAGAAAAAACAGAACTGTCCAGTTCTGTTCCGCTTAACTTTTAATCCTTTCTTTGTGATGAGATGTCTGTGGAGCCCATTGAACTAAAAAGGGTGCCCTCTACTTGCTACTGTATTAAAAAGAATTTCAGATAGTTTCAAATACTAGTCTCTAACCAGACTCCCTGACAGTTTTGTGTCAGTACTATTTTCTTCTCAGCTGTAAAATATGTGGCCACCTTTTTGCTGTATGAATGACTCGGACAAAAAGTAAAATAAAACAACTCTCTGATCACTGTTTTTTCACTGGGGAAAGAGTCCTTTCCAGTTGCTTATGTCTTGTCTTTTTGGAATGCATGGTACTCTCACTGGTACGTTTATTCAGGTGATATAACGCTCTGTGGACTTTGAATAATTTCTCTCCAGAGACTAGCTAATCCTGAGCTGTGGCAGTATGGGTCTGCTGTGCCTGGTCTGGACTGAATGTGAATTTGTCCTCTTGTTTCTTCTTGCATTCTTTTTTTCTTCTGCTGCTCTGCCGTGTTCTTCCTGTCTGGAAGATGCCAGTGGATAATTGTTTGACATTTTGATTTTCTGCTAAAAGGTCAGCTAGGACTACAGTTGGATTTTATGGAATGTCACTGCCTCCTGTTAGAAAAATGGGAGTACAGGCAGAAGGATCACTGCGTTACAAAAGAAGCGTCAAAGTTGAGCTATGTAACTTCTTATGGCACTGTTTTGTGGCAAGCTGTGTTACAGGTTTCATGCAGTGCTAGCTTTTACAGTAAGCTCATTTCAGATAAGGGGAACTTCTGAATCTGTACGTAAGAGTAAAGGCAGTGCAACCAAACCTGGAGTAAGAATTTTTTTGTTGGAAAGTAGCTTATTTCAAAGCTGTACTTCCTGAGCCTGTGACATCTTAGTGGGCATCCATGTCCTATGCATTTTCCTATTGTTAAGATATTCCTTTATCAGTCACTAAAAAGCACTAGAATTTCTGTCTGGCTATGTGAAGAGCAGTACATGTGTTCTTTCACCTGCAGAGGTCACTGAATTTCAGCAGCAGGTGAACAGAAAGGTCCAGTTCTTATGAACTCCAGTATCTACAGTCCTAAAGTATAACGGTAATAGCAATGGCTGTTACGGTGCAGAAACTTTCTCTATGGTAAATGATTCAACCTGTTTTAAAACTTGTTTTCTGACACATGGTCCTTATGTTTACCTGAAAAGTCATGATAAAATCATTACTTGCTGTGCTACTAATTGTAACTATAAGATACTGTCAGATGATGTGAGGAAGGCAGAGTTGGAGGTCAGGGTTTTTAATGGACAAGATACACTGAGACTGACTCTGTTAAAGTGTAAAGGAATACGAGGAGGAAGAGTCCTTAAGGCTCACAAAGATGAACTTTCTTTTACAGAACAAAGTGGCAGTTAGAGAAGTGGTTTCAACACAGCTTTTTGCATGTGTTGTTTCAAAGGGCTTTTTACTAGGAGACCTCTCACTTTGCCTTCTTTTCCTGATGCGTTTAGCTTTTAGCTTTATTACGGAGAGCGCAAGGAAGTTCATCAGGCCTTTTTCAGAAAAAGGGCAAGCTGCCTAGTTAGACACTCCATTCAGAAAATACCTAAGCAAAGTATAGACATGTAGTTTTAATGGTATCTTCTTCTTTCTCCCACCTTCCAGGTATTTGCAGTTATACAGTATATTCATTTAACAGGACTCAAAAATCCTGTTTTCACCTCCCTCTCCTGCCCACTCTTCTTTAGCATTATTCTCATTGCTGTCATTTCAGGGGTGTGGCATGTGAGAGCTTCTTAGGCAGCCTTTGTAGGTCTTTGCATTTAACTGGGTCTGAGTCCAGACTTTCTGAAGTTGCTACACAAAACTGTTCAAGCTGTGCCATTTTTCTTTCAGATCCGTGAATAGGAGATGTACTGCCGTGATTATTACAGCGGCTGAGGATAAGATTCTGGTTGCCGACAAATCTGGTGATGTCTATTCTTATTCAATAACAGAACCCCAAACGGAAGGAAAACTTGAACTGGGTCACTTGTCTCTGCTATTGGATGTGGTAAGTACATGCTTCTGTGCAGCTTCTGTACAAACTTGCTCTCGTACTTGTGTTTCGGTTTTTCATTGTTGTCCCAGTCCCAACTTTGGGTCCTCCCACTAAAGATTTCTAGTCTTCTTTGGTATAAACCAAGTGGATGATCTGTGTTTTTTCCTGCCGA